TGTTAAGAGGGTGGGAAATCCTATTATGGTAATTGGCAGTGGAGCCTTGAAGAGGTGATTGGATTGCAGAACCGTGCTGTAGTGAATGGATTAAAAATGGTGGTCAGGGGTGTAGTTCTGAGGGCTTTAAAAAAGAGGAGAGTCTGTCTTTCTCTCTGCTCTCTCTGCTTCCACTACTGTGCAATGTGAGACCCCTGAGACACTGTTACCACCATCAGATGGACTTTGGACTTCCCAGCCTCGGAAATTGTAAGCAATAAATGTTTTTCTTTATCAATCACCCTGTTTCAGGTATTCTGTTATAGCAATACAAAACGGACTAGTACAACTGGTCAATCTGACTTCGTGTGAGTGCCGCAATCATCCCTGTAACTTGGCAAAATGTTCACTATCTGGGAGAGACAGTGGACTGTCATCCCCTCCTCTCATTTCTTCTTGGTCATTCTTTTTTGATATAGATATGCTGTAATTTTGAACAATTTTATTTACCGAAGGAACATAAACATGTGATTCTCATTTCTGTTGGTGAAATACAGAAATAGAATTGATTTTTTTCCCTTAGAAATATCAAATGTCTTTATTAAATTCTTTTATCTCCTTCCAAGATTGGAAGGACACAACCAGTTGCTTCTCAATGGAGAGGTCATCATACAGAAACTAATTAAAGGCTATACAGGATGTTGGGTCTCATACTCTGGAGAAAAAAATGCATTAGCAACCGAAGGAAAAATACATATATATTACAAAGAACTTTATATTGAAAAGGGAAAGCTTGGAATTTGTCAATAACTCTCCCTCTCAATCTCATCAGCTCACAGGAGGAATAAGTGGACCCTTCAGGATGTCAATGAATCTTGATAGGAGGTCATCTGCTCGCCAGCATCACTCAGGAGGGGATTTGTCCTTTCATGGTCCAGAGGAGAGGAGGCCACCTACTGGCTTATCATGGGAAATACAACTGCATGGTTTTCATACCCACCATCTGCCCTTACTGATAATGTCCTTGTGTCTAGCAACTTTGCTAAATTTACTTATTAATTGTAATACTCAATGATGTTTTTGAATTTTTATGAATAAAATCATGTCATGAGTAATGATGACTTTGTTTTTTCCTTTCTAATCCTTATATCTTTCATTTATTTTTCTTGTCTTACTATACTGGCTAGAACCTCAATCACAGTGCTGAACAGAAGTGACAGTGGGCATCTTTGTCTTACTTCCAAACTCAAACTTCTAACATTTTACCATTAAGAATGTAGTTTACTATTGATTTTATATAGTATTCCTTTACCAGCTTTAAAGAAGTTTCTACTCCTAGTTTTCTAAGAGGTTCTTTTTAAAACAATGGATATTAAAATTCATCAAATGCTTTCCTCCCATCAATTAAGATGATTATATTATTCTTTTATGCAATTAATGTAAATTACATTGACTGCTATTCTGATGCTAAATCAATTTTGCAATTCCTGGAATAAACCCAACTGGGTCATGATATACAATAGCCTTTTTATCTTATTGATAGATTTTGCTTCCTCACTCATGAGTGACACAGGCTTATAAATTTTTTTCCCATAAAATTCTTGTTAGGTTATGCTAGGCTCATAAAATGAATTGGGAAGTGTTTCTTATTTTTCTGTTCCTTAGATTTGGTTTCCTAGATTTCTTTCCTAAAAGGTTATATTACCAATGAAGCCACCTGGGCTTAGAGTTTTCACTGTGGGAAAACTTAAACTATGTATTTAAAAAATTTTTTTCTCCTGAAATGCTTCCAGCAAAATTATGTATTTCCTAAAAAATAGATATAGAACTATTAACATTTCCTTTTTCTTCTATGTCAGTTTTGGTAAGTTGTATATAGTTTCTTTGTTTTTTGTTTTTAATGGTTCCATTCCATCTGGTCCATTTTCAAATTTATTCACATAAAGTTGTTCATTAAAAAGTTCTTCTGCGGCCGGCCTGGTGGCGCACTGCTACAGTGCGCTGCTTGGGAGCGCGGCGGCGCTCCCGCCGACGGTCCATTTTCAAATTTATTCACATAAAGTTGTTCATTAAAAAGTTCTTCTGCGGCCGGCCTGGTGGCGCACTGCTACAGTGCGCCGCTTGGGAGCGCGGCGGCGCTCCCGCCGAGGGTTCGGATCCCACATACAGACCGGCCGCTCACTGGCTGAGCGCGGTGCGGGAGCAACACCGAGGGTTGCGATCCCGTTGCCAGTCCCAGTCCGGTGCGGGCGCGACACTGAGGGTTGCGATCCGTTGCTGGTCACGAAAAAAGACAAAAAGGAAAAAAAAAAAAGTTCTTCTGGAGGCCAAAAAAAATGTCTGTAGGATTTGGAGTAATACCCTTATTTCCTTTTTCTTTTCTTTTTCTTTTTTGGCACTGTCAGGAATGGGGAACCCAACCCTTCACCTTGGTGTTTCAAGGCTGTGCTCTAACCAACTAAGCTTACCAGCCAGCTGATTTCCTTTTAATCTCCAACACTGGTTATTTATAACTTCTTTTTTTGTGGTTAATCCTGCCAAAGGCTCATCAATATTATTATTTTCAAAAATCCAATTTGTGGTTCTTTTAATCCTCTCTACTGAACTTCTTCCTCTAGATCATTAATTTTTGGTCTTATTTATATTCTTTCCTTCCTTCTACTTTCTTTAGGTTTTTTGTTTTTGTCTTTTTTGTCTTTTTCCGTGTCCGGCAACGGATCGCAACCCTCAGTGTTGCCCCCGTACTGGACCGGGGACCGGCAACGGGACCGCAACCCGAGGAGTTGCGCCCGCACCTGG